ACGTTGTTGTTTTTTCCAATATAATCCCAGTGCTCTGTGTATGTGAAGAAATATTGATGCATTATACGTGCAAATATTACCTAGCAAAAACGCAGACGCAAAATGGATTAAATCCTGATGTTTAGTTAAACTATCTACTCATAGTTGTTAATTGAATATTGATAATTCACTGACTAGTTAATAAAGTATGTATTCAAAATGTTTGCAAACTGACCTTCACATATGACCTGAGCATCTACCGACTTGCAGCTAACGAAAGACGAACAAATGAACTCATTGAATGTGTCATTCTCTTTGCAAGATTTAAACTGAGAATCGCACGTGCGTTTCGTGATTCACGCGCTCGCCATCGTCTAGACAGACTATTCATTTGACCGTAACCATGGCAATACGAGAATTGATCTGCGTGTCAGCACTGTCCTGTTATTGGTTATCAGGGCATGTTGCAGTCAAGGGCACTGGTCGGATCTTGAGCTGACATAATCAGCATGAAAGATCGGCAATGATCAGACGACGTTTAATCACTTAATTTTCTGATTTACCAAAACGTCAAACAACCACACTAAATTCGTTTTTCAGTTTATGAAATGTTTTAAGAGCCTAACGCGAATCTGAAATTGAATTTCACTAAAATACATCATGAAGTTTGAATATTTTAAAGCTTTCATAAATCATTTATTCGAATGTTATTGAATTTCCACGTTGCGTGTTACCGTCGTAATGTCTAGACGATGCACAAAAGGTCCGAGGTTAACAATTACAAAACTGAACACTTGGTGCATGTTAGACGGGCCATTGTCAAAAAGACGACATATGGTTGGATACTCATTGGCAGGACTCAACTGATTCAATGACCACGTGGAGGACAAAAACTACGGAGCCAACCTCCACCGTCACTTCACGGGAACGTTGCACACAATACCGGCACACTGCTGCTGTCTAGATTTCAAATATATGTCCTTCACGCCACATGAAGTTTAATGTTCTTCCCTCAATAGGAATAGCACCCGCTGGACCTATTTGACAATGTCTGTTTTAATAGTGGTGATACATTACTGTCCACGTGATTGACGTAAAACACTTGTCATCTGGTAAAATATATAAGAAAATAAATTACCACTTATACGAGATGTGTATGTACCATGTGGATATGTCATGTCATAATTTCACTGCTGTCAGTGGCCAACACTTTTATACAGGCAGCATACTCCTGTAACACCGCCGGTGTGGCAATCCGTCTTCCTCTTTCACTCGTGCGGAGCACGTGACTAACATGGTAGTGAATCTTTCCGCTTTGCAGACATCGGGGACAGGGAAAACAATCCGTCAAAATGTCGGGGTGACACCTATGACCTACTTCGATTTTTTACGTCAGGCAGAAACGCGACAAACGCTTTTTCGAGGAAACGCTCACATCCGCGCCTTTTAAAGAGTATCCGCACTTCTAGCCCGAAGTCAAACAGTGACAGACAAGTTCGTTTTTGTCTTGACTGTTTCAAAGGGCAATCTCATTCTTCAGTAATAATACCAAAGAAAGCATACTACAAAAGGTCAGAATCTTTTGAAGCTAAAAATAGTTCTGAAATTGAGTTTAAGCCAGAGTCACTTAATGTGTTAAGTATTCCCTAATTCTTTTGCTTTTTTTTCTTTGTACTTTGTAGGTAGAGTTTGACTTGAATCATGCGATAAAATACAACGTGGGCAAGTTATATGATATTTATAGTAATAGTGACATCTCTAAATTATGTTTTCTTGGTAAGTCATATTATTCCATTATTTCAGCATCTGGATGACGTCAATGTGCCTTATGAATAATTAAAACTAAACAGTACCATGAATATTTTACTTGTAGAATCCGATATGGAAATATCTCCTGATAAGCTATTAACACGTAGCAGTGTATTCACCGTTTATATCCACGCACGGCAATACAGCGAGGCATGACGCTGACAAAACCTGCAGATAATATAACAATAATATTCCAAGCAGGATAAACCGCCTCCGTGGTCTTGTGGTAGAGCGTCCGCCCGGAGAGCGGAAGGTTCAGGGTTCGATCCCGGGCCGCGTCATACAAAAAGACGTTAAAAGATTGTACTTGTTGTTACCCTGTCTGGCGCTCGGCATTAAGGGGCTAAAACAAGGACTGGTCGGCTCGGAGTCAGTATACTGTGTCTGAGTGGGGTATTCATGTTAAACTGCGGCATAGTATCTCAGTGAGCTAGCACTATAAATCGGCATCAGTCCGGACTAGTACAAGCAGCCACACACACACATACACGTGCATGCACGTCGCTATATAAGTGCAATAATCTTGGACGCGACGTTAAACCCAATTTCACCTCACCTCACCAAGCAGGATAAACTCGAGTAGACTGTATGGCGGATTCCTGACGTTTAATGGAGGAAGTATGATTTGCTACCGATTTGATGCGCTATTTAACACAGGAAACGTTCCCGTTGCAGACGCGGCGACTTATATTTGTTCTGTTGACATGGAGATAACATATGACGGAAACTGTATTATTCAGTCAATATGGGGACGGCATGATAGCACAGTGGTTAAGCCGTTCGCTTGTTCCACAGACGACCCGGGTTTTATTTCCCTCATAGGCACACTGCGTGGTACGTCATGACAGACGAAACCCTAGCCACAATGGCACTACAGTGAAAACTATCATTCTGGCACCAGCCTTGTGATTTTACCTTGTCTGGTCCAGAATCGATTATTTACAGACCGACGTCATATAGCTGGATTATTGCTGTGTGCGGCGTCAACCAACCAACAAACATCTAATAATGAGTATAAACTGTATGACTACGTCAGTCGTTACATTAATAGCACGTATACATTCAGTCGCTACCTTTATCGTTTCAGCTATAACAGATGCATAGCCATCCTTAATATTCCCCGAATGTCTGACATACGCTGAGAGCATTACCTTAATCCTTCTCCAAGTAACTGATCTGCATACTAAACTGTTTTGTATTGAAATCTTTCATAAACCATGTACCAACCAAAATCAATTTAGCTAGTCACATAACTGCGAGAGCCCCAAAAGCCCTAAAGAATATATCCTATTCCACAGCGTCAGCTTTGTATATCAAGGAATTATCTTCAGTCCACAAAGCCGTACCATGCTTATCCAGAGTTGCAACAGACGTACCACAATAATTCTATTAAGACCAACACTGAGAATAAAGGTAGTACTCCTCTCTGGCGAACAACACACGCTCCATGTGTCGAACATAATAGGCTTATTGTGACGTCATGGCGGACATGTGTGTGTATTTATTAAAAAGGGATACATGACCCTAGTACATGTCATAACACGTTCTCTACAAGTTGTACGTGTGTTAGAATATTTGACTTTACATCTCTGATAATATTCAGCATTGCATCGTATTTCCAGGGTTATCAAGAAAGCCACGTTACGAGGTGAAAATATAATCAATGTCGCGAAAAGGATTTCATCTTGTGTACATTTGTTAACCAATTATAACGACAACGGTAGCCTTACTCCCACGTCGTGATAATTACAAAACGTGCCCCGTTTCTATTTCACTTTAATCACCCGTGTCAGGGTAGAGGTTTCAGGTTAAATTTCCCGGTTCGCGGTGACTCACCCGGGAATATTCCATTGACTTGCCGGAAAATGGCCGACCGGCGTGTTACGAGCTTTTCGTATAATGCGTTACCATAAATGACAAAAGGCCCTATACCAGAGAAAACACCACGTCACAGGTCTGTGATTTATTGATATATCCACGTAAAGACACGTCATAAAATAACACGTAAAACACTTTACGTCCGTGATATCATTCATAACCATGCCGCGCCCATCAAACTAGAACCCTATTGAGAAGTGTTTCCCCGGCAAGTTAAAAAGCGAAAAGAAAGCCCGCCACTATCACCCTCCCTCGCTATTCTCGAACAGTACCTGGGGCAGCTGGCGGTCTATATTTGAGCCAGGTGCCCGTCTTTCACCAGCAACTACCGGCTTCCGTTGCCATAGGAACCCATCCATCCTGATATCTGCTTGCAAATCAAATAGCTCGTTCTTTAGGCCTTCAGATGTATCTCCTGAGGGTTGTAAACCTACCTATGGACTAGCCTTCAAATGCAACATTATACAGCTACACGCCACACGTGCACTCCGCCCATTCCCCGGTTGAACAGCATTACGTGAATACAATAATACAATGTGCCCTCTGATGTATACAATACAGATCTAGTGCCCACCGGATGGTGCGGCTAGTCACAGAACATAACGCGTACCTGATAGTATCGATTACCGGCATAAGCAGGTTAATTTCATATTCAGCATCGAATGTCGTATATTAGTCAGCTATGGTACACGCATACACTTGATGCATATTTCGTTTCTGCTCTGTGGGTGTGACCGTGCTCTGAATGCAAGCGGGAATACATACACTGGGGATTTTCCCTATTCTCCACGCTTCGCCGGCTTTTTCCAGCCGGCGAGCCAGCCCATTCCAGCCGGCACAAACATGTGGCGCTCGCTTGTGAATACCGGCAACTGAACACGCGGGTTAGACGTTAACGATCACTTCATAGATTCGCGCTCGCTATGTAAAAGTACACAATTTACTATGTTCTATCGTTATAATTTAGCAAATATCAAATAATATTAAAAGTATTGTAAATATAAATCTGTATTTGAAAGCAAAACATTGCAGCAGCTATTCCTGATTATTATAATACGGTAATACATTGCCGCTTTTTTTCAAGCGTACAATGGATACGTGTGCGTTTTAAAATAATAATATAAACTTATAACAATGAGCTTAACGAAATCAGTTTTGTTCTTCATAAGTAGGACATGGATGCTCTTTGTGCTTAAAGCATCCTGAAATAATCAACATAATTTATGAATTGGAATCATGATAATAATTACAAGACCACTAATTGAAAGAAACAGGCGTGATTAAGTAGCATGTAAGATGTACATCTGCATATATTTCACAAAGTCATCTCTTACCTTGTTTCTGTGTGCCAACAATATACGGTGTGGAATTGAGAAGTTGCCGCTACAAGAGTTCCACGATTATGAGGGAGCGTCAGCCCGTCAATGAAACAAAGTAGCCCTGGTAATGGAAAATAACCGGCCTGGTTCTCGAGACCACGTGACTCCAAAAGCTTCCTTCATTTGCCGGAGTGTTTTCAATCCATTGGTCGCCGCTAGATGGCTTTCTGTGAACGCTCAGCGCCGCGTTTCGTCATATCATCCGATTTAAATGCAGGGGTGTGCACAGTATTGTTATCAACGTCAGAATATTGTTTGTATACATGGTGTGTTTTTGTCTGCAAGGCCATTTCTCGAGTAATCTATTGATCTGTGTTTGTTGGGGCTTGTTGTCATATTGTATACAGATATATAATGCGTCTTTGTAATATGGATACTAGTACATATAGACTGAACGTTATGGACTACTGAATCGGAAACATTACTTTATTTTGATAACTACTTAATTATGAAAATTGTAATTGTCTTCAATATAATTTGCTAACAAGGCGGGTATTATATTGATAAATGTGTTTTTAAATCATGAATACTTTTCATGGTAGATTGAAACACAGGAGTATGCAGGTGTACCACACAATATGTGTATTGATCCATATGTCCTAAAAGGTGGATTTTAAAAACATAACCTGTTTCTACAGCAACACATTATTGTGACTGAGACCAACAATGTGATCAAAGTGATATCAAGGACCAGACAGTGTGACTGTGTCTGTGACTGTGATGCGCGAGCGCGCTATCAGTCGAGGCTACCAGTGTACCAATACACCAACAGACCAATCTTGTTAAACGAGAATTGAGTTAAAGAGTGAATGTCATTGTATGACGTGTATCGAGATATATGAAGACTAAAATTAGATGAGGCACGCGAACGACAGACGGCGTTGTCAACGATCCATGCCGTCGAAACAAGCTGACAGTGTGACCGCACTATTCACATTTTAGACGGTTCTAAATGAAAAACCACCTAGTGACATGGCCTTTATCCGTCCTGGGTTATGTCAACCTTTGTAATGTTAAGATCATATAACTACTCCATAATGAGGAAGTGACAGTCTACGGCAGGGAGAACAACACGGAGATGCAATGCGTTATTTTTTATGATGACATTCTTTACCTCATCACCATAACAATGGCGAATATTTTATATCCGTGTACATTTGACATGTTACGGGTATTCAATATCTTCATATATATCCGACCCGTGTCAAGATCCGGGTTAGTATAGGTCTTCAGCAAGCCATATTGGCCGTAAAAGGATACCATGCTTATCGTAAGAGGCGACTAACGGGATCGGGTGGTCAGGCTCGCTGACTTGGTTGATGCATGTTATTGTTTTCCAGCTGCGCGGATCGATGCTCATGATGTCAATCACTTGATTGTCTGGTCCAGACTCGATTATTTACACACACCCGTCATATAGCTGGAATATTGCTGAGAGCGGCGTTAAACAACAAACCACAACAAACCACCATCGATACTTGTGATGTCAATCACTTGATTGTCTGGTACAGATTTGATTATTCACAGACCGCCGTGCAGCTGGAATGCTGAGTGCTTGTTTTAATGTGGAGAACGTATTATATGTGAATGAAATGGGTAACTGTCCTTCCCCGCACAATTGCAATGATCACATTGACAGTGGCATGTCACAGCTGAACCGTCAATATTTGTTACCTACATGCTGAAGATGTTTTGTTTTAAAGCTCTTTATCCCAGTTGCTTGTATATTTGTCACTCGTATATAACAGTGAGTTCTACAGTGCACATCATTGTGTCTTGAGTCGAAATGGATTTGTGTATAATGAATTATGTGTATACAAAGTCGCTTTGCCAAACAAACAAACCTTACATTTAGTATCATATATTATCGATGAGAGTGATCGATCTGGTCACCAGCTGTGACCCGTATGATGTGACAGAGATACGGGGATGAACGTTCTTTTGATAGTGATCGTGTGCTTTCGGTCCAGTCCGACGGCCTAACTGCTGTGTCGAGATTACCTCCATTGTCTAGTTGCTGTGTCGAGACTGTCTCCGCCGTCTAGTTGCTGTGTCGAGACTGTCTCCATTATCTAATTGCTGTGTCGAGATTGCCGCCATTGACGAACCTCCACTGTCTAGCTGCTGTGTCCAGACAGTCTACCCTGTCTAGCTGCTGTGTCGAGACTGTCTCCACTGTCTAGTTGCTGTGTTGAGACTGCCTCCACTGTCTAGTTGTTGTGTCGAGACTGCTGTCTCCACTGTCTAGCTGCTGTGTCGAGACTACCTCCACTGTCTAGCTGCTGTGTCGGGCCGTCTCCATTGTCTAGCTGCTGTGTCGAGACTGTCTCGACTGTCTAGCTGCTGTGTCCTGACAGTCTACCCTGTCAAGCGTTGTGTCGAGACTGCTGCCTCCACTGTCTAGCTGCTGTGTCGAGACTGTCTCCACTGTCTAGCTGCTGTGTCGAGACTCCCTCCACTGTCTAGTTGCTGTGTCGAGACTGCTGCCTCCACTGTCGAGCTGCTGTGTCGAGACTGTCTCCATTGTCTAGCTGCTGTGTCGAGACTGTCTCCACTGTCTAGCTGCTTTGTCGAGACTGTCTCCACTGTCTAGTTGCTGTGTCGAGACTGTCTCCACTGTCTAGCTGCTGTGTCGAGACTACCTCCACTGTCTAGCTGCTGTGTCGAGACTGTCTCCATTGTCTAGCTGCTGTGTCGAGACTGTCTCCATTGTCTAGCTGCTGTGTCGAGACTACCTCCACTGTCTAGCTGCTGTGTCGAGACTGCCCCAAATGCCTAGTTGCTGTGTCGAGACTGTTTCCACTGTCTAGTTGCTGTCTCGAGACTGAATCCACTATCTTGATGCTGCGTCGAGACTGCCTCCATTGCCGAACTTCCACTATCTAGCTGCTGTGTCGAAAATGTGTGTTTGCAGACACACTGACAGTTAAGGACCTACATCCAGCAATCACCTGGATGTGATAATCCACTTGTCTCATCCGAATATTGTGTTCTTGGTAAAAGGTAGTCATAGGTCGCTCTTTCCAAGCGCTTCTTTAACCCAGAAAGACACTTACATTATGGTGCTATTTTTAGCGTCATTGGGGAATTTCTACACTGGTATAAGAAATACCATTGTGACGTATTTTAGTCACGCTCTACTTCCAGCCTTTGACGTCCTTAAATGTGATGCATTAACACAAGATCACAGAATAACAAACTAGCCCCGGGCCTCCACGGCACCGTCCCAAAACATACAAAAGAGTTTATACTGAACGTTATCAGTGGATTTATCTTTTGATGATCGGCCCAATAAGCCTCTCTTACATTGCCTTGATGAACTGATGGCCTCGTCATGCTGTTACAAATAGTTAAAAGAAGACTATAAAAACTTGACTTATTAACTGTATTCATACTTTCAGAAATGAAACCGATGCGTCATGGAACACCACTGTGTGCTGGCTGTTGAGTAGGGCAGGGGTACGCGAACACATGGTGTCATCACTATTTGATAGTGATTCATAAACACATGCTTATATCAGTCGTAATCGTAAAAAAGACCGCCTCCATGGTCTAGTGGTAGAGCGTCCGCCCGGGGAGCGGAAGGTCCGGATTATCCCAGGCCGCGTCATACCAAAAGACGTTCAAAGATGGTACTTGTTGTTACCCTGTCTGGCGCTCGGCATTAAGGGGCTAAAACAAGGACTGGTCGACTCGGAGTCTGTGTCTGAGTGGGGTATTCATGTTAAACTGCGGCATGGTATCTCAGTGATCAAGCACTATAAATCGGCACCAGCCCGGAATAGTTCAAGCAGCCACACAAACACACACACGTACATGCACGTCGCTATATAAGTGCAATAATCTTGGACGCGACGTTAAACCCCATTTCACCTAACGCGTAATCGTAAAATGGACTCTGCTTTCACAAGAAATGTCTTGTGATCATGGAAATATTTTGCCGCTTTTATTTTCTGGCTGTTCATGAGACACAGCTTCAAACGTTAGTTTATTAGCTCAGGAAGTATCAGGCCTGTGACACTGCTCAACGAGGCTCTGTCAACCGGGAGATTGCAACATGTGTGGGTTTTATATAATGTGTACATAGCATAATTATCACAAACGTTGTGTTTGTAAAGATGAAAACAAAATGCCCAACAATAACAGTCGATATGATGTTGAGGACTATATGTTGATTGCATGTCAGCGTATAGGTGAGATGAAATGGGGTTTAACGTCGCGTCCAAGATTATTGCACTTATATAGCGACGTGCATGCACGTGTATATGTGTGTGTGTGGCTGCTTGTACTAGTCCGGGCTGATGCCGATTTATAGTGCTAGCACACTGAGATACCATGCTGCAGTTTAACATGAATACCCCACTCATACACAGTATACTGACTCCGAGCCGACCAGTCCTTGTTTTAGCCCCTTATTGCCGAGCGCCAGACAGGGTAACAACCAGTACTATCTTTTAACGTCTTTTGGTATGACGCGGCTGGGGATCGAACCCCGGACCTTCCGCTCTCCGGGCGGACGCTCTACCATTAGTCCACGGAGGCGGTCTGTCAGCGTAAAAGGCGATGGTGAATGGTACGCATGAATTAACGTCTTCTCTCAGATGAGCCAATGTGAGTACTGAGCTCGACTGCCCTCAATGTATATGTTTAGTTTAAACATATTTTATTCTCACGAAAAGGATTGGGCACAAGTAATCACAACTTAGAACGCCCTCACCCATAGATTTACATGTATTCTTATTTAAAGTTAATAATTTAAATGACAGAAAGGAAAGAAAAGCAATAGAGAAACGTGTGTACATTCACACTGCTCACTCAAACCTTTTTGTTTTCTTTATATATGTATGTACATTCCTCAAAATGCTTTCGTTCACATGATTAGGTAAAACTGCATTGAGAACTAGCATCAGGCTAATATTTACATCACAAGTATTTTTTCATTGAATGTCGTTTATTTAAATCAGCTAGAAACGAATTGAAGCACTCACTGTTGTTAATTGTGAATGTATATGTATATTGATATAACCTGTTCTGCAGCCCTAATGTTATAACATTGTTCATTTAGTATTGGCTGTTTGGCGTATCAGCTGAAACCATGCCAACAGACTAACG